TGATTGTGCATCAGGAATTTCTTTTTGCTAGTCAGATGATATAAATGTAGATTTTTTATTGTAACATTTTAAAGTAATTATATGAAGATCATTGTAAAAGATCGATACGATAAAAATTTTCAGTGTTTTGAGGCATGGCGGAAGCGGTAAAGTTATACAAAGAATGAGAACTACTTCAAAAATTATATAGTGCAAATTTAAATTAGGTAAATATTCAAATTATATAGGCTTATTCCCGGTTTCTTTTTAATTGACCTATGTATATGTATGCATATTTATTTACAAACACATTTAGAAGTATTAATTATTATAAATATCGGTATAACTTCTATAACTGCATAACATAGTTAAAGCAATGTCTCTTGCAAGAAAAAAATATCTATTGAGAATATAAATATTTCTTGGCAAGAATATGTACAATAACATTTTTCTGTAAACTCAAGTAATATATAATTGAATATAATCACAATATAAAATCTGAACGTATGGTAAGCATTTGACAAATACTCTCGCATATATACATTGAAAAAAATTCACATTTAGCTTTTCATTTAGAGTGCAGCCATAAATACATAACCCTAATAGAATCCTGTCTTGTAACGTATATCTCATGTAAAGTAGCCACGGTAGCTGCGCATATCTTAGCGCTGAGACACTATTAATGCCTCCACATTAATAAAATAATTATATAAAAGATTCTGAGATTCTAAAAAAATTAAATGCAATTTTTGTTATTAATAAAAATATTTATTAAATTAATCATGTCAGTATGACATAAAAAACTGTAAAAATTTTAAAAAACATAGTATATTGCTTTAACAATATATTTTAATATGACGTAAGAAATAATTATTGATTAGTTATTCATATACAATATCTAGATAAAATAAATTTTTATAATAAAAAGAATATTTACCAATTGATCGGCAAGGAGCAGAACTGTTTTCAAAGAAAAACGTCTCGAACAAAAATTAAATAAATCTTCCAGTGATGGTCCAAGTAACTCCATCACCATAACGTTATAGTCACCTTCCGAACCACACCACTTTATAGTTGGTATTCCAACTAAAATATTGAAAAAAGAGATTATACTATAATAATGATACAATGTTCTAATAATCCAAAAAAAGTAAAATCTAAAAAGATTGTAATTATAGTTTAATCTAATTTGTATCAGAGAATATCACACTTCCTTCCCTTCACTTTCTCCAAAAAGATTATGCAACTGTATTACTAGTGAAATAATTACAGTACAAGTGTTATTTAACTAATGCAATAAAAAATTCATAATTAATGTTATTAAATCTTAATAATTATACATTTCAAATTACGATAGATTTCTTTATAATCTTTATAATATTTTTCTTTAAAAAGTTATTACCAATTTTTTTACTAATAAACCAATTGACAAACAATTCTTAGAACAATTAAATATTTGTTTACTTAATTGAAATCTCTGTATCATGCTAAATTTGTCTTTTTTAACTGCTAATGTCAGGAAAAGACACACAAGCAAGTAGATATCAGAGATACACAGCTATGCGTCGTGTTGGGTAGAAAGAAAAGATATTGGATCAGCTGTCAAATAAATGAGAACGTGAATACAATTCCTCGTATAGAATAAACATTCAATTGATAATACAGAAATATTGACTTACCGCCTCCTTGCATCATCTTGTAAAACTTGGACTCTATGTGCAACTGCGGATGTCGTGTTTTTATGCATTCTAACTTGATAGCGACTTCCTCACCCGTGGAAATATTGGTACCTATGAATAAAGAAAAAGTTCTAGAAGGCTCATTTATGCATGCATATACATTTACATGGATAGGGATATATAAAGAAGACAAAGAAAGGTGCGCGGAGAAATGAAAGATAGAAATAACGGAGTAAAAAGAGAAAGAAAGGAAAGTGGAAATAAAACGTTATGAATTAGCGATTTAACGCTTTCTTGCGCGAAATATACAAAATCTATTGTATATCATCATACACAGACGAGGAGGATGGGAGGGATGAAGAGGGGAGAAGGAGACAGTATCGGCATAGAGTGATTCGACGACGAGGACGAGTGATTCGCGAGTCGCGACCCGCGCGGACACGCGGTTGACGAGCGGCAGAGAGGGGTGGGAGGAACTTTCAACTTACCTAGGTAAATGTCGCCAAAGGAGCCGCTCCCGATTTTCCGTCCTAGCCGGTACTTATTACCAACACGTAGCTCCATCGTACACAAGCCCGTGCGGCGCACCCCGATGGAAGTATCACGGTCGCGGTTGCAATCACGGCGGCGGCGGCGAGGTGACTAATATATACACATACACCAACAATCCAGCGTAGAGGCAACGCGGTACAGCAGCAGCTGACCCGACCTGAGCGTGAAGTGATACGATATTCGATGCTCGATATCGGAACAACAACGGGCGGCGTGTGCTCGACTCTGATTGGCTCGCTCGCTCGCGTTACTGGCTCGACGACAACAATACCTCCATGATCGTCGCACAGAAACTCGGACTGATTGATCTTGAACCTACGGGCATTTCTTCGTGGCTAGTCGCGATGAACAGAATAGCGCACCTCGTTGCGATGGCGGTCGCGCTGATGGCGGCGGCGCTGCGCTCGCGTTTGTCTGTCGCCACTCGCTTTCTCGCTGTTGTGTTGACGGCGCTGCGCCGCTGCTGCCAGGGTGCCAGGTAGATCGCAGATCTGGCAGATAGGCAGGAATCACGACCAAGACGACGGCATCAAAGAGTTTATCCCGCGAGAGTAGGGAGAGGAAGGACGGCCGATGATCAGTCGTGGCGAAATTCGATAAACGTACCGCGCGTAGACACCTCGTTTATAGTGTAGCTGCAATAGCGGGACGGGAGGAAAGATCGAATCGTGTAGTAAATGTCGATTCGATTGTTGGAGCGCGAGTAATGACCAATGGGAACGCACGTCGCGATCGCGGTAGAGCATCTGCCCGCAGCCCGAGGCGTCCAAGCGGACCGGTGAAGAAGCACGATCAAAGATGCACCAACCGCGACTGCGCCCTCACCGCCCTCACGATGTTTCGTGAACACACGTTCTTCTCATAAAGACGACCACTGACGAAAAGATTAAAGGAAGGAAAGAAAGGGAAATGATTGTTTGCTCGAAGACAGCGCCCTCATATATACTCATGAACAAAATTTGGGTGCATTCAGAACGACAACCGCTCATTAAGCCCGGATCCTCATACACAGTGTTTTAACACAGAGCGCTGATTGATGAAAAGCTGGCGATCAATTGTGTATCTTGAAACGAGGTGAAAATTACAAAAGTCAACGAATTTACTAGGTGTTGACCAATGAAATTATCAGTATGCTAAATTCGTTCACTTTTATAATTTTCAATTCATTTCAAGATACAGAATCGATCCCCTGATTGTAGGGGTAAAATTTACCTCCATCGCCCATTTTTCGCCAGCGTTCGGTTTCCACCAAAAGTTTCAACCGGATTAAAATGTAAGAATCAACCAACTACAGTCGAGTATTCCCCTTACGAACGACAGGAGAATGCTCGACTGATTGGTTCTTACATTCTGATCCGGGTATCAATCATAAAACTTTATCCCTAAGATGGAAAGTGAAAAATTAAAAATTTCTCCATTAATTTCAATGGTAAAAATTTTCACTTTTTACTTTTCATCTTAGGGATAAAGTTTTATGATTGATACTCCGGTTTTAACCCTCGAGATTACTCCGGATTACTACAATACAGTTCTAAGCCTTAAATCATCAGAAATAAACGAATCATAGTCGATTATTCTCCTCGAATTCAACTATAATTGGTCAATTTCTTACGACTTAAGACTTAAAACATTTATTGTACAATAGATCCCGACTTACAGTCAAATGCGAGGAGAATAATTAATTATGATTCGTCCATTTCTTATGGCTTAAAACTTAAAAACCTATTATAGATCCGAGCTTAGGGTCTACAATATCCTAAAGTAGAAGAGTTAATTGAAGAATGCTAAAATCCGTATCAGACTAGAGAATTGAAATTGAGATTGGATTGGAATTTAATTAATTAAAAAAATAAAATCAATATCAATTGTGAACTAATTTGCTTTGATTGATCAAATTTTAACGTAGTCCCAATTCTAGTCTGACGGACTTTACATTATTAATTGTTTTTCAAGAATAAATTAATTTTATTCGATTTTATATACTTCCTCAATCATTTTATTATAAAATATGTAGAAATTTTAAAATTTTTCTGATAATAAAACAGTGAGGAAAGTAAAATTTAGTAAGATCTTGGAAAAAATTTGGTAAAAACTTTGGAACAGTCAAAACAGTTGATGTTGACGTTTTTCAATTACTTCCAGGCTCTCGGAGTCACAAAAAATTATTTAGGATTGATGGTCTAGTATCTCATCGGTGTATACACGACCTTCCGCAGTCCGCTGGTCCCGGATCCGCTCTATCTAATCTTTTTTGGTTTGTGGTTCCATGCAATTTTGTGTATTGGATTTGGAAGGATCAATTGCATATTGTAACAGCTGTAATTTAAACGTTGCGATCGCAATTGCAATCATCCGCGGTTTGTAATTCGGTTGTACTTACTTGAAAGTATACATGGGAGTACGCAAGTGATCTTTTGTCGTTGTTAAATTTTATATCACACAAACATGTCGCGACATCGAGACGTTCGTTCTATGAATTACTCTGATGGTAAGTAACTACACATGCATTGTGAATCGCTTTATCTTGCCAAGATTTTTTTTATCTTTACGAAGGAATTTAAACTTTAATCTTTCAAGAGAACACATTTCGATTATGTATTAACAATCCACCTTTTTTTATTATCATCATATTGTTTATAAAAATACTTATGGAGTATAGCAACCTTTAATCATGCTTTTACCTTTAATTAAATGTTTCTGTTTATTGATGCGTTGTAAAAATAAAAATACATTAATTTTTTTTATGTAGAGTACGATGGCTATGATGATGTTTATGGACATTCAATAGAGGACGACTATTGCGTATCACCTAGTGGTATATGTTTTACAGATTTTTCTATGATTTCCAATGAAGTCATCCATTAATCATTTATTAATTGTAAATATATGTTATATACACAGTGGAGCAATTTTTATATGATCGAAGCAAACAACAAAATATTGCTTCATTCATCACAGAACCTGATATAGTGGAAGACAATGAAGATATTGATGAGCCTTTTCCATCGTCCAATGAAGAAAAATTCAATCTTTCTGAATTGGAAAAGGCAAAATTAATATCTTGTTTGGAAACAATTAGAAACGTTATAGGTGACACGGTATCTGATTCTAAATTGAAAGAGAAAATTATTCTGTCAAATTTTGATGCAAATATAGTACTTGATGCTATTTTAAAGGAGTCTTCACCAAAAAAAGTCACTGGTATGTTTATTTTGTCATAATGGATATTAAAACTGAAATATTAGAATATAATAATATTGAAATAAAAAAATTTTGAAATACATTTACAGATTCTATGGAGAATAAGAAACAATTGGAGCGACATCCAGGTATACATTGCACATGAGATCTTATTTTATATGTCTCTAATATTACATTGAAGCATAGTGTTAAATTTGGAACTACTAATGACCTTGTTTTTTTTCTTTTTTTTTTCATGTTCTCTATATTGGACTTCATCGGTAAGGTAAGGTGTTTCAGTTGATAAATCTAATACATTCATGCTCACAATACCTAGATTTTCTTTTAAAAAAGAACATATTTCTAAAGATGCTACTTGGAATATATGTCAATCGAATAATATAGATAGTTCAAAAGATGTAAATAATTCCTTCAAAACTTTCTCATCATTAGCTGGAATTGTTTCCCATCACACAGAATCTATAAATTCAAATATAACAAAAATGTCTTCACAAAATAACACAAATGCACAATCTTTCAGTTCTCTAGCTGCTTTAACTGCAGATTATTTACAAAAATCTAATGCAACTAATAATGTAGACTCTCAAGATAAGTGTAAATCACCAATCTCACAATTTACCATTCCAAAACTATCAATAAAGAAAAATGATAGTGAAGAAACGAGAAACGTACATTTACCAAAATTTCACAACAATGAGAATAATAAAAGACAGCTAGTATCTACAAATATTTTGAACAAAGATGAAATCGATTCACTTCAGAATGATTTTTCAAATATGGACATCTTTTCAAACAGAAATACCGTGATAGATAAATTAGAAAAACAATTTGTAAATCCAATAAATACTGTAAATGAAAATTGCACTCCATTATCTGACGATTGGGTAGATCTGAGTGCTGCTTTAAAGGAAGCAGAATTTCTATCTGATAACGCTTTTTGCGGTGTCAATTTGACTACTTCGACAAAATTGTACGATATGCATAATTTAGAGATATCCCTTGAAGATGACGATAGGACAACACCAAATGTGTTACCTGTTACTTTAAATTTATGTGCTTTGAGATTTACTGAATTTCCATATACAAAAAAGAACGTCTCGGTATTTGGAAAAACTTTATGTAAAAAATGGAAGAGAAAAAGACCAGTTCTTAAAACCATTGTACATTATAACACAGTTAAATCTTTCGACTTTTCTACTCCATATCAAAATTCAAATCGATCTTAAAAGATATATCTAAAAAATAGATAAGTAAAACTGGTTACTAAATGTGTAACATGTGTATTTAGGGTGTCAAAACATTTTTTTGAAAAATATAAAAAAGATTTATAATAGGAATAATATTTTAATTGTATATTTCTATCTCTTTAGCATCATTTGACTATCTTTTATTATTTTATATTTATAATAGAGAGATTTGAGAAAGATATCAATATGTTTTTAAATGCACGCATGCACTCACACACACACACACACACACACACACACACACACACACACACACACACACACACACACAATTGTTACAAAACAATAATATACACAATTAGTATTATATTTGTATTATACTACAGTAATTGTACGTATATAGTATAACTTTACATTTATATATAATTTTTGCAATTTTATATTAACAATACATGTGCAGATGATTATATTTTATCTTTCTTCTGATGCAACTTAGCATAGCTTCATCTTAGCATAGCTGAGAATTAATTTTATGATAGGTAGCAAATTATCATCAAAACCTACGTTGCAAGTCACAACACCATCTACTGTAAAGGTCGTACCGACCGGGACAAAACCTATTGTGAAAGGTTTTGATCTAAGCGGTGTAGAAAATACAGATTTGTTGAGCCCACGTTGTGGAAGTCCGTCTTCCAATCGGAACAGTCCTGAGGTCAAACGCAAGGAAGATATCGTACAAAAGGAGAAAAGAATAGTCTCATCAAAAATGAATAGTCCAAGATGTCAATCACCTATATCGGGTCATGTAACATCGGAATTAGATATTAAAGTAAAATCTAATGCATCTAATGAAGAAAAAGTGGATGTTGAAGCGATATACAACAGTAAGAGAGGCGGCAGTAAGGAACAGCTTCACTTGGTAGTCGTGGGACACGTTGATGCTGGAAAAAGCACATTACTTGGACGATTACTCTGCGATTTGGGTCAAGTACCACAGAGACTTATCCATAAATATCAACAAGAGAGCAAAAAAATAGGAAAACAATCATTTGCCTATGCTTGGGTACTCGACGAAACTGGCGAAGAAAGGTGATTATGTAACTTGTTATTGGGGATCCTTGGCGGAAAAAATTTGTTATTTTGTTCGAAAAATATAAAAAATAACAAATTCTAGCAAACAAAATTAGTATTGCCGAAATTTGACGGAAAATATCTCATTTTATCTGTAACTATCCGAATTTGTACATTTTGGCAATTTTCGGAAAAATTTAGGACGAATTCAGACACGTTATGACTAAATTTCGGATATATTCGAATAAATTTTTCCACAAGGAATGCACTGGATATCCGAAAAGTATCTGGTATTCGGTATTATCCGATACTTTTTAACTTAGACCAGATAGTCTGATATCATTAGTATCTGGAAGTGTATATCCAATTGAAATTTTATATCATTAAATTGTTCATATTTTATTATATAATTTATTATTATGTTATAAATATTCTATAAATAAGGATGCATACTCGTAATATCTTATATATTCAAACTAGCTATAATATCTTATATATTCAAACTTTGAAATTGCCTATAAGAACTAATTGGATGGATTTGTGTATAAAATTTTTTATTTAAGTGCTACAACAATAATATATTGTACGTTTCATACAAACTTTATACAACCATATGTGGACAACACAATTCGTTATAGAATAATGCGACTCTATTTGCTTGACGATTACACTTTGTAATGTACTTGGATTAAACATATGATATTAAAAAAGATCTAAACGGCGAGCGAAACGTATATTATAGTTGTAACACTCAAATAAAAATTTTTTTCATTTGAGTGTTACACAAATCCATTCAGTGTCAGCTCTTATAGGCAATTTCAAAATTTGATTTAATTCGCTAGAGCTTGGTTATTAATTCATCTTATTACTGCAAAATTACTTACAATTTTTTCCTTCACAGTTATCATCTCCATTGATACAGTCCATTTTGCTCTCTTTTTCTTTTTCACTCAGCCTTTTTTTTCTTTTTTTTTTTTTAGGAGATATTGTCCCGGAATCGAATTGGATATTCGGAAAATATCGAATATCCGACTCGAAAAATTGCCTTCCCGAATATCCAATGTCACATTTTTTCCTGATATCCGATATCCGGTAATTTTACGATCCGGTACATCCCTACTTATTACATTAAAAAGTCAGTGCAGAAGAATGTATCAATTATAATACATCTTTAACAGAGAGCGGGGAATAACAATGGATATAGGCCACTCGAAGTTTGAAACGGACACAAAATCTATCACTCTGCTAGATGCACCTGGCCACAAGGATTTTATTCCGAATATGATAACCGGCGTTACGCAAGCAGATGTAGCTTTGTTAGTAGTCGATGCAACCAGAGGCGAGTTTGAAACTGGATTCGATAGTGGAGGACAGACACGCGAACACGCCCTATTACTACGCTCTTTAGGTCATTTTTTTTCTCTAAGTTTTGTAAAAAATTTTAATTATTAAAAAAGACTATATTTAGCATCAATTTTCTGTATTTACAATTCTGAATTTTTATTAAAAATTTAGGAGTATCACAACTAGCAGTAGTTGTTAACAAGCTGGATACCGTAAATTGGTCTAAAGATAGATTCAATGAGATAGTGGACAAAATAAGTGTGTTCCTAAAACAAGCTGGCTTCAAAGATACCGTTACTTTCGTACCTTGCAGCGGTTTATCTGGAGAGAATATTGTAACAAAACCAAAGGAACAACTCTCTAATTGGTAATATCTCAATGTTTTGCATACATGCTTTTATCTATTTCTTATGAAATAATTTCACAGGTATACCGGACCTACTCTAGTTAACGTTATCGATAATTTTAAGTGCCCAGAGCGGCCTATAAATAAACCATTTCGTTTTTCGGTGAACGATATATTTAAGGGTACTGGATCTGGATTTTGTGTGTCTGGTCATGTTGAAACGGGTATGGTATCCTTGAGTGATAAGGTTTTAGTACTACCTCAAAACGAGGTTGCAGTTGTTAAAGGTAAACTAAAGTTTCTATTAGGCTTTAAGCAATAATGGACGATCATAAAGATTATGTTATATGCTTAAAGATTACTTTATCTTAGGTCTTCAGTCGGATGAAGCTTCAATAGCAAATGCTTTTGCTGGTGATCACGTTGCGCTGACATTAGCGGGAATCGAGCAGCAAAATGTGGGTATCGGCGATATCATCTGTAACCCACAGAATCCAGTACCCGTAACGACCTGTTTTCAAGCGCACGTTGTTATATTCGCGATAGCAAAACCAATCATAAAAGGGCTTCCAGTAGTGATGCACCAACAATCTTTGGTACAACCGGCGGTTATCATAAAATTAATAGCGCAACTTCATCGAAGTACTGGTGAGGTGATCAAGAAGAAGCCGCGTTGCTTACCTAAGAATTCCAGTGCGATCATCGAGGTCGCAACGCAGACACCAGTTTGCATGGAGTTGTATAAGGATATTAAACAGTTAGGTAGAGTTATGTTACGATTAGAAGGTACCACTATCGCAGCTGGTTTAATTACAAAGATTTTATAAATCTGATTAATATAAATGAAATCTCGAATATTCAATTTATATACACAATAGAAAAATTTTATTTAAATCTAATGTGATGTGCGTGCGTGTGTGTATGGTGTATGTGTGCGTGCGTTTGTGCGCGCGCGCGTGTAGCTATCGGTGTATATTTATACATCACACAAAATGATATATGCAAACTTTATAGGTTGTTGTTATGTATAATAGTATAGAGAACTTTACTCAATAATACTTTACTAATTAAGATTTTTTTATATATCCCATAGTATATTTATTATTGTTCATGAGCCATAATACATAGATGACTGAAGCTGCGTTTCTGATACTCACTATTAGTGCTAAAAATCTGCAGCATACGTTACGTGCATTGTAGATTTTTAGTGTATATTTCAACATAGCATAACTAAGTCACGCTATTTAATTGCAAATGATAGACATAGTCGCAGATATGCATGATTTAATAACTACTGAATAGCAATGCTATTAATAGCATTTCATTCATGGAATTCATATTGTAAGTAAATTTAGTAAATAAATAGTGCTAGAAATTTATGTACATGCACTACTCAATGATGTTATTCAGTATAGCTACTGAATATTATGCACATTGATGGTATATCTTATCATCCACGTCATCCACCAATATAAAATTAATCTTATATTGGTAAAACTGGATTTTAGTAATGTGTAAGTTTTTCGTGTATCATGGCTCTATATCTTGAACAACTGTAAAATTAATTTGGTATATGTAATAAAGATGTATGGTTACATTATTTTTATTAATATAATTTATATTAATTACTTTGTACATTATTATTTGTTGATTAAAAATTTGTGTGGTATTACATATCATTAAAAAAATAATACCTTGTGACAAAGCTTTACTAAGGTTTATTCATTATATATATATA